TCTATCTATCTATCTATCTATCTATCTATCTATCTATCTATCTATCTATCCCCACACACCCCCTCTATCTATCTATCTATCTATCTATCTATCCCTCTATCTATCTATCTATCTATCTATCCCCACCCCCTCTATCTATCTATCTATCTATCTATCTATCTATCTATCTATCTATCTATCCCCACACACCCCCTCTATCTATCTATCTATCTATCTATCTATCTATCTATCTATCTATCTATCTATCTATCTATCCCCACCCCCATCTATCTATCTATCTATCTATCTATCTATCTATCTATCTATCTATCTATCTATCTATCTATCTATCTATCTATCTATCTATCTATCTATCTATCTATCTATCTATCTATCTATCTATCTATCTATCTATCTATCTATCTATTATCTATCTATCCCCACACACCCCCTCTATCTATCTATCTATCTATCTATCTATCTATCTATCTATCTATCTATCTATCTATCCCCACACACCCCCTCTATCTATCTATCTATCTATCTATCTATCTATCTATCTATCTATCCCCACCCACCCCCTCTATATCTATCTATCTATCTATCTATCTATCTATCTATCCCCACACACCCCCTCTATCTATCTATCTATCTATCTATCTATCTATCTATCTATCTATCTATCTATCTATCCCCACACACCCCCTGTGCGCGTGCGAACGTCTCTCGTGCGCGTCTGCGGGCTGACGTGGGGGCGGGCGAGGTTCTTCTCGGCGGGCGTGTCTGGCAGTGTGTGTCTGTCTGTCTGTGCGGGCCGCCGTGAGGTTTTGTGCCTGCGGGCCCCCGCCCACAACACAAGCAGCTCACCGCCTCCCTGCTCCCCTGCCCCCTCGGGCCTAGGAGGAAATCCAGAGCCGCCTGGGGGTCCTGAAGCAGGAGAGAGACGAGCTGCTGGAGTTTAAATCCGCAGATGCCAAGAAAAGCCAGGAGCTGCTGGTACGTGCCCGTGCCGAGTGACACGAAGAACCCGACGTTTATTGGCACTGGGATCTGCCAGTGTCCCCTGGAAGCTGAGCGCCGGGGCGGCCGCCCGGGAGTGATTTCAATGCCACTGTGTTTCTGCGGGTGGTGCGCGCCCGGGGTGCATGCAACAAAATGTATTCCGCACGTGGGGAGGGGAACTTGAGTCTTCTTGGTGTGTAACACACCGCACTCCTGTTGCCAGGATTGGGGGGAGTAGCAAGGGGCCAGGCCCCCCACTTTCTACTGGTAATAAGGGCCAACGATGGGGGGGAGGGCGACCCATGGGCAGGGGACGGGGGACGGGAAAGGGGCCCATGAGGTGGAATACATTTTGTTCTACGCGGCCTCCACCTTCTACATTCGAAGTGTCCGAGCCAAGCAAGTGTAGCTGGGAAAGAGAACCGGGGGAGGGCGTGGGAACCCCCCAGGAGTCGATTGCGGAAGAAGCCGAAAAGGTAGCCCAGCCTGTCGCGGCGTGAACCGTCTCCGAGGGGCGGCCGGGTGAGCCTGGAGCTTTCAAAACTACGGGCGGTCCGGCCGCACCGTACGCCCTTAGGCCATTAGGGCGTTAGTTCGGAATCAGCCCCGCCCATTTCGAAATAACAAGCGGCGCGTCCACACAACCAAGCCGGTTTCTTCTGAAAAATTAGGGGCCAGGTTTCTGTGCAACGATTGTAAAGAAATGTTAAATAGTTGCAGGATTTCTCTTAAAGATTGTGAAAGATTTTAAAGAAACTTTACATATTTTAAGGATTTCTTTTATCGATTTTTAAAGATTTTGAAGAAATTGTAAATATTTGCAGGATTTCTTTCAAAGATTTTGAAAGATTTTAAAGAAATTGTAAATATTTTAAGGATTTCTTTTAAAGATTTTTAAAGATTTTAAAGAAACTTTACATATTTTAAGGATTTCTTTTATCGATTTTTAAAGATTTTAAATACATTTTAAATATTTGCAGGATTTCTTTCAAAGATTTTGAAAGATTTTAAAGAAATTGTAAATATTTTAAGGATTTCTTTTAAAGATTTTAAAGACATTTTAAATATTTAAAGGATTTCTTTTAAAGTTTTTTAAAGTTTTTAATTTTTAAAAAAATATTTTAAGGATTTCTTTTATCGATTTTTAAAGATTTTAAATACATTTTAAATATTTGCAGGATTTCTTTCAAAGATTTTGAAAGATTTTAAAGAAATTGTAAATCTTTTAAAGATTTCTTTTAAAGATTTTAAAGACATTTTAAATATTTAAAGGATTTCTTTTAAAGATTTTTAAAGATTTTAATTTTTTAAAAAATATTTTAAGGATTTCTTTAATAGATTTTGAAAGATTTTAAAGAAACTTTACATATTTTAAGGATTTCTTTTATCGATTTTTAAAGATTTTAAATACATTTTAAATATTTGCAGGATTTCTTTCAAAGATTTTGAAAGATTTTAAAGAAATTGTAAATATTTTAAGGATTTCTTTTAAAGATTTTAAAGACATTTTAAATATTTAAAGGATTTCTTTTACAGATTTTTAAAGATTTTAAGTTTTTAAAAAATATTTGAAGGATTTCTTTTAAAGATTCGTAAAGCTTTTAAAGACATTTTAACTATTTAAAGGATTTCTTATCAAGATTTCTATTTAACCCCGCCCCTCCCCACACACATTTGGTGAACTAGTGCCTGGTTGCTGGGGGGCCCAGAGCCCAAGGATTAAAAACCCCAAGAATTGCTTCCTGGGGGCCCCGCTTGCAAAGTTTCGGAGCCAGGGGCCGGCAAGAGGAATTCACGTTGCCCGGGGTGTGCAGTGCAATTAGGACGCATTTCTCTCTTTTTCTCCCCGCTCCAGGACGTGATGAGCATCGTGAGCAGGTACGGAGCTGTGGCTTCGCCCTCCCTTGCTCTTTTCCCACGCGGGCGGCGGACAGGTCGGTGTGGGCCGGGCGGAGGTCCCGAGGGACAGCTGGACTCGCTGGGGACGGACAGGGATCCTGCCACGTTGCCCCAACCCTAGGGCTCCCGGGGGAGCGTAAACACCCGCAGAAACTCTCAGGTCTGCTTTGCCTGCCCGAGGGAACACCTCAGACTGCCTTTGCCGGGCTCCCGGTGTGAAAGAGAAATGTGGGGGAGTAGCTTCCTGCGGCTCATTCGGGGGTCACTTTTTTGGGCCTCCCCCCGACTGATTTTTCTGTGGGTCAGCGCCCCCAGAACGGTTCCCCAGCCCTGCCTGGTAGCCTGATCCAGGGCTCCGTGGGGTCGCGGAGCGACTTTAACGTAAATTTCCTCTCCCTGAAGACTTCGAGGTGGGACTCTAGGGCCCCCGTCGGCCGGCCCTCGTGCCACCGGCTCTAAGACCGATTTTACCCAGAATCCGTCACGGCCTCCCCTGCCCAGACCCCGTCAAGGGGCCCAGACAGTCTCGGAGGACTCGGAACTTGAGGGGGAAAGTCCCGACTTTCCCAGACTCTCCCAGGAGGACACCGGAGAAGTCTCCTAAGGGTGGCGACAGAGCAGAGCCAGAGGCCCAGAAGGAACCGCCCCCTTTTTGCCCGAGACTCCGCCCCTTCCACACTAGACTCCGCCTCTTCCACCCAGGGGCTTGGCAATTGGGCCGACTCCCCCTATATCTGTGTCCATTCCAATTGGACGTAATTTGCATGATGTGACGAGGTGCATAAAAAGTAAGAAATCTTGAAATGCCCCCATACAAAAACGATTACCCACTCCCGACTTAGAGTGAAACTAGAGGTGTCGCTTGGCCTGGTGAGGGGAGGCAGCTTCAGCTAAAGATTCAGCAGGCTTGCATTCCTGGCTGTGCCGGGAGGGACGATGGTTCGTTTGGCCTGGTGAGGAGCTTCAGCTAAAGATTCAGCAGGTTTGTGTTCCTGGCTGTGCCGGGAGGGACGATGGGTGAGTCACTTTCTTGGGTCATGCCTCAGTTTCCCCTCTGTCTCTGGGGCTCACGAGGCAGACCTCCTCTAAGGTCTGTGGAGGAGGAGAGTGAGGAATCATTAAAAGTCGGGGGCAACTCCCCCCTCCTCTCTCTGGCCTGGGTGAGCAGCGACGTTCCTGCAATTTTTTTCCCATCTGCGTGTGGAATAAATTTTGCACTGTGCATCGAGGCATGTGCACCACCGGGAGAAACACATGCTGCCTAAGGTGGGCGCTCAGCTAATCCGCTAGGGTGGCATATGAAATCCCTCCTGGGCAGCTGCCCAATGACTCGGTTTACAGGAAGCCCCACCCCTCCTCTTCGGAAGGCCGGGTGAGAGCGCCCCCTACTGTTCCGAACTAGTTCATCCCCTGCCCGGGAAGGTCTCGCTCACAGCATGTGAAGATTTGGTCTCCTGGGTGTTTTGTCTCCCGGTTGAGTCATCTAGTCCCGGTGATCACTAATTAAAACCGAACCGGGATGTTTAACACGAAGGGCCGGATAAGACACACGAAGTGGACTTTTTCCTGTCGCCATTCATGGATAAAATCCAAGAAATCCAAGGCAACGAGGCGTCCTAAGCCTGACAGGTTGATTTGGGCATCGGCTTCCCTGGGTAAAACCTGCTTCATCCGAGGGGGATACTCGTCCGCATCCGGGAAACGCCGATTGTCCGGTTTTTTCCTTCCCCTTCAGAAGCAGCAGCCTGACGTTCCAGAAGCCGGAGTCTGTCTCCTCGGAGGTGAAAAGCGCCATCGGCAACTTCTCTCTCCAGACCGCCGGCCTCCAGGCCGCGTTCAGGAAATTCAAAGGTGGGTGGGTGCCGCGAGCCGGGACGGCGCGGTGTTTTCCGTGCGTTTGGGGGTCCAGAGGGGCCCGACGTGTTCAGTGCACGAGGGGAAAGCCCAGAATTTGCCGGTTTCTTGGTTAGCCTGTGTGCACCAACCGAGAAGGGGCAGTCGATGGTGCTAAGAGATTTCAAAAGCAGGCGAAATCCGTGATACTGAAAACATGGGGACTTGAGTTGGATCCCCGTCCACTAGAACGAGAAAGAACCTCGAGGGGATAGCGAGTCCAGTCCCCTGTTCTCTTGGCAGGACTCAGCCCTGTCTAGACCAGTGTTTCTGAAACACGTCTTCCAAGGCACAGCAGTGTGCTGCGAGGCAGTCGGAGGTGAGCCGCGGGGAAAAGCATAATTCAAAATGGCCGCCCCCCCTCAACTTTCCCCCTCAACTTGAAGATGCCAGTTGCCACGATCGATCTTCCGGAGTTTGATTGAGCGGGCCTCCTTCAGACTCGCTAAATCAAACTCAGAGGGTGCCCTTCGTTTTGGGCGGCATAAAGGGAAGCCGGCGAGGAATTTGCTGCTCCCTAACCATTCGGGATCTCACTGGAGGGTCAGCTTGTCCTGCTCTTATCTGTGTTCCTGCGGATTTCCCCGCGGCCGCAGACGAGCTCAAGTGAATATCGGTTCCTTCCTGAACCTCCCTGCCCTCACGACACAGCCCTGACGGCCTCTCTTCTTCTTTCAGCCTCTCTGCAAGATGAACTGGGGAAAGGCGAAAAAGGTAAACGCCAAAGAGACTTTCCATTGGGGTCGTCGCTTGCAAACGGTTCTAGGGGAAGGAAAACGAGAATTTTAACTTCCTCTCTCTCGATTGAGGGGACGTCAGTGTAGGCCTGGCCTATGCTCAAAATCGGGTGTCACTTGAGGAATGAAAAATCCCCCCTTCCCTTCGAGCAACATAGTGAAGCCAACAAAAGTCAAAGCCCTGCATCAACAGAAGAATACCTTTGTGGGCTTAACCGCCTCTCGGGGAGACACAACCCCTACCCAGATGGGAACCAAAGTCCCCTCTAATCTTTTCCACCCAGGTGCAGATTTTTTCCACCCATGTGCGGAATAATTTTCTGACGTGCACCCAGGCACGTGTGAACGTGCACCACACATCAAAACACAAACCCTAGCTGTGGAATCTCTGCTAACCAGCTGGGCGGCACTGGAGTCCCCCCCACCCCCCAAGCAGGGAACACCGACGGGAACCTCTCCCGTTGGCATGAGGACGGAGGACGGGTCCACACCGACCCATGGAAAGCGTGGAGATTTTAACTTAGAGTTGGCTCTAGTGTTGACCACCTCCCTCTGCCACGGTTCTGCAACAATTTCAAGCAACAAATTAAGGCCCCAATCAGAGCCCCTATAAGCCAAGCACTTGGAGAATTTCAAACACTACCCGGTGGATTAGCAGAGTGCACACTTCCGGAAGTGTGTGTCTCTGTAGGTGGTGCACCTCCACACATGCCTTGGTGCATGGAACAATATTTATTCCGCACACAGGTGGGGAAAAATTAGAGCAACGCCGGTCGCGATGTCGCCAAATTTACCATCCCTTACGCCACGAGAAATCAGGACAGCATGCCGTGAAGAAGCGCCCGATCCCAGCCAAATGGCGGTCGAATTTTACTTTCTGTGGCTACCCACCTTTAAAAGGGTGGGTGCCAGCAGACCACACCTACAGAGGGGCAGGGCGTGGGGCAGCCCCCCTTGGCCTGCCCCCATTCCACCCCCCAGAAAACCGAACCCCCCACAAAGTGTTTCACATGACATCGGAACCCCTCTTTGACCAGATCATTGGGGACTGAGACAATTGGAGTTCCCGCTCCGTTTTTTCCCATCCATGTGCAGAATAAATTTTGTTCAGTGCACTGGGGATGTGCACCACCAGGAGACACACCAATTGCGGGCGCCTTGCTGACCGGTGGGCCAGCATGGGACTCCACCGGGGGGGCCGACCGAGTGTCTGTAACTTTGGCAAGTTCTTAGAGAGGCTCTTCTCTAGCAGACGGTGTAGGGCCAGTGCGTCAGACACGACGGGGGGATACGCGGGTGCTTTCTCAGACAGCAAAGGCATCCAGACGTGAAGGGGCAAGGACAAACACCTAGCTCTAGGGGAAACACGGGCGATGCAGACAAGCTAGCAGAGGCTCTGGGATGGAGGGTGTGGAAATCAAGTTGCTAGTGCAGAATTAAAATAGCTAATCACATCAGAGCAGCCGGCCCAGCGTCCTACCCAGCCTGGCTAATACCCATTGATGGATCTAACCCCCCATGAATTTATCTAGCTCTTTTTTTGAACCCTGTTAAAGTTGCGTCCTTCACCACATCCTCTGGCGAGGAGTTCCACAGATTGGCCGCGCACTGAGTGAAGAAAAACATCCTTTTCTTTGTTTGAAACTTGCTACCGATTCATTTCATTGGGGCTACATCTAGGCTGCAAGCCTCTTTGGAAAGATACTTTCGCAAAAGCCGCTTTTGAAAAACGAGCGTCTAGTCTGCAACCAGTACTTTCGAAAAAGCAAGCCGCGTTTTGGAAAGAGAGCCCTCAAGCTGTCTGGATGCTCTCTTTCGAGAAAGCACCGTTTGCATTGCCTAGCGCCTTGTTTCGAAAGAGCACTTCCGAAAAAAAGCGTTCTTCCTCGTACGACGAGCTTTTCCGCGGTCGAAAAAACGGCCACGTTCTTTCAATTGACTTTCAAACGAACGTGCCAGCAGTCTAGACACAGGGGAAGTTTTTTCGAAAAAAGGCCCTAAAGTCTAGACACACCCTGGGTGTCCCCTCGTTCTTATGTGATAGAAACACTTTTCCTTAGTCACTTTCTCCGGCCCATCACGATTTTACGGATCTCTCTCCTCTCCCCACCTCCGCCTCCGCTTTTCTCAGCTGAAACGTCCCAGTCTTGTTAATCTCTCTTCAGACGGGACCCGTTCCAAACCCTTCATCCTTTTGGGGCCCGTTTCTGAACCTTTTCCAACACTGAGAGATTTTTTTGGAGATGAGGCGACCACACCTGTCCGCAGGATTCAAGCTGCGGGCGTGCCGTGGGTTTATCCAGCGGCAATACGGAGTTCTCCGTCTTATTCTCCACTTAGGGTTGCCGGGTGATCGGTTTTCGACTGGACAGTTCGGTATTTTGGACTTTCGTGGACTTACCGGCAGTAGTGCCTGGACCAATTCTAGGGTTGCCAGGTGTCCAGTTTTTACCTGGACAGTCCGGTATTTGCGGCCTCTGTCCGGTTTAAAAAAACAGAAAATAGCGGACATGTTTTTTCTCGGACGGCAAGCTGGTGGGGACATTTTTCCCTTTCTGCGTCTGGTGGGGGAATGGGAGCACATGGATTTAAAGGCACAGCGACCTCTTTTTTTTTCTCAAAAAGACAGCCAGCAGCATCTGCTAGGGCAGAGGGAGTGAGGTAATTTAAAGGCACAGCCACCTCTCTTTTTTCTCAAAAAGATGGCCGGTGGCATCTGTGAGGGTGGGGGTTAGGAGGGTGAGGTAATTTAAAGACGCAGGGACCTATTTTTTTTCCCTCAAAAAGATGGCCGGCAGCATCTGTTAGGGCAGGGGGAGTGAGATAATTTAAAAGTGGCATCTGCTAGGGCAGAGGGAGTGAGGTAATTTAAAGGCACAGCCACCTCTCTTTTTTCTCAAAAAGATGGCCGGTGGCGATGCAGTTGCTTCTGCATTCTGCCAACATATCTACTGTATGAATGCTCCCAGGCCCACACATATCATCATTCTCACTAGCAAGCCACATTATATTTTCCTGCTATTTGTTCTGCCAAAAACATTTTCAGATATAATTTTAATACAAGAATTTATGAGGAAAATTTGCCAGCAAAACTTTGAAAGCTTTAAATGAAAAAATAGAAAACCCTAACCCCCACCATGATCGTCTTCTCCTTCCCCACAGAGGACCTGACTCTGGACCCGGAGACAGCCAACCACCTTCTGGTCCTCTCCGCCGACCTCAAGAGCGTGAGGATGGGGTGCCGAAAGCAAGAGCTGCCCAACAGCCCCAAGCGGTTCGACACCAACTCGCGGGTGCTGGCGCTGGAAGGCTTCCGGTCAGGCCGGCACTACTGGGAGGTGGAGGTGGGGGCCTCGGACGGCTGGGCGTTCGGGGTGGCCCGGGAGTCAGTGCGACGGAAAGGCCTGACTCAATTTGCCCCCGAGGAGGGTATCTGGGCCCTGCAGCAAAACGGCGGGCGCTACCGGGCCGTCACCTCCCCACAACGCACCCCGCTGGGCCTGGGCGAGAAACTCAGCCGAGTCCGGGTCTGCCTGGACTACGAAGGGGAAGAGGTGGCCTTCTACAACGCCGACACCAGGCAGCACCTGTTCACCTTCCACGTGGCCTTCGACGAGCAAGTCTTCCCCCTCTTCTCCGTCTGCTCCACCATCACCTACCTCAAACTGTGCCCCTGACCCGCGCCGCACGGGGGGAGCGGCCCAAAGCCAACTGCGCCCATCTCGTCCCGATCCCGACAACGCGTCGGCCACGGCGCCCGGCGGCCGAAGTGGGCCGTGGATCGGAACTGGAGCCACGAGGAGAGACCGTCAGTGTAGAGAAAACGGTCAGCAAGGCAAGAGCCGCGTGAGCGGGTCTACGGTCTTCTGGCGCCAAACCAATGGAACTGAGGCCCACTCTGGATTAAACGCGTCTACACGGGGGAGGTGTTCTAGTCTAACCAGCTCAACTGTACCGCCACGGAGTTCAACTGCTGCAAATGTAAATGAGGCCTGCTCTGGATTAAACGCGTCTACATGGGGGAGGTGTTCTAGTCTAACCAGATCAGCTGTACCGCCATGTAGTTCTACTGTTGCAAATGTAAATGAGGCCTGCTCTGGATTAAACACGTCTACACAGGGGATGTCTAACCAGGCCTTAATGAGAGCCTGTGCATAGTGTCCTTCCTTGAAGATTTGATGTGCGTCGTATTTCTGTGACCTCGGTACCTCTTCTATGTACAAGTTGTTTGATAAGAATATCAGAACGGCCAGACGGGGTCAGACCAAAGGTCCATCCAGCCAAGTGTCCTGTCTGCCCACAGTGGCCAATGCCAGATGCCCCAGAGGGAGGGAACACAACAGGTAATCCTCATGTGATCCCGCCGCCATCGCCCATTTCCTGATAAACACCCTCCCTACCCATCCTAGCGAGTAGCCACTGATGGACGTATCCAGCTCTTTTTTTGAACGCTCTTATATTCTTTAGTCTTCACAACATCCTTTGGTGAGGAGTTCCACAGGTTGACCGTGCATGGCGTGAAAAAATGCTTTCTTCTGTTTGTTTGAAACCTGCTGCCTCTTAATTTTATTGGGCGACCCCTGATTATATGCTGGCAAATAATTCATTGCACGTTGGGGCTTGGAAACGCGCCGTTGGCCAAAAGACCTTGCAGTGGAAATAAAGTTTGAAGGCATTTTATGAATGTGTTTTTTGCTTTGATAGGGTTCAAAACGGATCTTCTGTTGGAAAGTTAGGCTGGATAGCAGGAAAAATGATTTCCCTAGGCGGGTGGGGAAGCGCTGGGATGGGTTCCCTAGGAAGGGGGTGGAGTCTCCATCCCTAGAGGTGTTTAAGTCCTGGCTTGACCAAGCCCTGGCTGGGTTGGTTTAGTTGGGATTGGTCCTGCCTTGGGCAGGGGGCTGGACTTGATGACCTCCTGTAGTCTCTTCCAGCTCTGTGATTCTATTTTCCTGATGATCAAGTCCAGCCTCCGTCCAAAGAATCGGCCTCACTTAGAAATGGGAGGAACGCGGCGTTTCGGTCTTGTGCTGACTTTCGTCAGTGTGGGGGCTATGTCTCACGACTGGTTTCTATCACAAGTCCTCAGACAGAGGGCTTGTCTCAAGCGACCCCAAGATCGATGCAGAGATCGATCCCCCAGGGGTTGATTTGGAAGGTCTAGCAAAGACACGCTCAATCAATTGCTGATCGTGCTCTCACCGATCCCAGGACTCCACCGGGTCGCAAGGGGAGGCAATGGGAGAGTTTCTCCCATCGGGAGAATGCTGCAGGAATTCGACCGAAGCGACGTCAACTCCAGCTATGCTATTCATGGAACTGGAACTGTATCTTAGGTCAATTCCCCCACCAAGTGTAAATATTTATCCTTGCTATTGGGTAACCTTACGAGGGCCTTTGTGGACACGGCGTTTCGCCACACACAGACGCACGCGCAGGGACCAACACCGGTCCCACCGTCACTTGCAATTGCGGTTGCTTAACACACCCAAAGGCCAAGGTTCAACACCGAGTAGAAACACGTGGGCGATGTCTACACTCGTGGCGTCTTGCATGAGAAACATGCAAATGAGGCTAAGCGTGGCATATCGCCGAGCCTCATTTGCATATCTAACGAGCCGCCGTTTTTGCAGAAGAGGCTCTTGCGCCAGAAGGAGCTGTCTACACGGCCCCGTCTCGCGCATCTTGCGCATTGCCGCCACGCCGATTAGTTTCGGAAAGAACGGTGTTGCGCAAGAGGGGTTTTCCTGCGCCAGAAGGGGCCGTGTAGACAGCTCCTTCTAGCGCTAGAGCCTCTTCAGCAAAAACGGCGGCTCGTTAGGTATGCAAATGAGGGTCGGCGATAGCCCACGCTTAGCGGCGTTTGCATATTTCTCGCTCAAGAAGCTGCGCGTGTGACATAGCAGTGGGGTCCTTTGTTGCAGGCTGGGGACCAACTGGCTAAGTAGCAGTTCTGCAGAAAAGGCCCTGGGGGTTACAGTGGATGAGAAGCTGGAGATGAGTCACCAGGGCGCCCTTGTAGCCAAGAAGGCTAATGGCATATTAGGTGCATTAGGAGGAGCATTGCCAGCAGATCCAGAGATGTCATTATTCCCCTTTATTGGGCTCTGGTGAGGCCACATCTGGAGTATTGTGTCCAGTTCTGGGCCCCCCACTACACAAAGGATGTGGGCGCATTGGAGAGGGTCCAGCGGAGGGCGACCAAAATGATTCGGGGGCTGGAGCACATGACCTATGAGGAGAGGCCGAGGGATTTGGGCTTGTTTAGTCTGCAGAAGAGAAGAGTGAGGGGGGATTTGAGAGCAGCCTTCAACTTCCTGAAGGGGGGTCCAAAAAGGATGAAGAGAGGTTGTGACAAGTGGCAGACCAAGGAGCAAAGTCTCAAGTTGTGGTGGGAGGGGTCTAGGTTGGAGATTAGGAAAAACGATTTCCCTAGGCGGGTGGGAAGCGCTGGGCTGGGTTGCCTAGGGAGGGGGGGAATCTCCATCCCTAGAGGTGTTTAAGTCTCGGTTTGACCAAGCCCCGGCTGGGTTGATTGAGCTGGCTTGGTCCTGCCTTGGGCAGGGGGCAGGACCTGATGCCCGCCCTGCGATTCCAGGATTCGGACCCCCCCACGAATGCTCTGCAGCCTGTTGCGCCCCCGCGTAAACCCGCAGCTGTCCTGCACAGAGGGACACGCCACACGGGCTATTCTTAGGGTTGTGAAATACAGCCTAGAGCCAGGCCCTCGCTGAAAACTGACCGGCTCTGGGAAGGGAGCGTCAGACCAGTGCAAGAGCAGAGCGGGCAGCCAGCACCGGGACATGAAAAGTCTCCATTGGGCTATTTAAAGAACACACCAGAAAGGCCCCAGGAAGAAAGGCACCGGGTAAGTGAAATATGGCACAGCAGGACTGCGACTCAAATCCCCACAGAGATGACAGCCTTCAGCCGGCTGGGGGTGCAGGGAGTGGGCGGGAGGTAGGATGCAGGGAGCGGCTGGGGGTGCAGGGTTTGGGCGGGAGGTAGGATGCAGGGAGGGGCTGGGGGTGTAGGGTGTGGGCGGGAGGTAGGATGCAGGGAGGGGCTGGGGGTGCAGGGTGTGGGCGGGAGGTAGGATGCAGGGAGGGGCTGGGGGTGCAGGGTGTGGGCGGGAGGTAGGATGCAGGGACGGGCTGGGGGTGCAGGGTGTGGGCGGGAGGTAGGATGCAGGGACGGGCTGGGGGTGCAGGGTGTGGGCGGGAGGTAGGATGCAGGGACGGGCTGGGGGTGCAGGGTGTGGGCGGGAGGTAGGATGCAGGGACGGGCTGGGGGTGCAGGGTGTGGGCGGGAGGTAGGATGCAGGGACGGGCTGGGGGTGCAGGGTGTGGGCGGGAGGTAGGATGCAGGGACGGGCTGGGGGTGCAGGGTGTGGGCGGGAGGTAGGATGCAGGGACGGGCTGGGGGTGCAGGGTGTGGGCGGGAGGTAGGATGCAGGGACGGGCTGGGGGTGCAGGGTGTGGGCGGGAGGTAGGATGCAGGGACGGGCTGGGGGTGCAGGGTGTGGGCGGGAGGTAGGATGCAGGGACGGGCTGGGGGTGCAGGGTGTGGGCGGGAGGTAGGATGCAGGGACGGGCTGGGGGTGCAGGGTGTGGGCGGGAGGTAGGATGCAGGGACGGGCTGGGGGTGCAGGGTGTGGGCGGGAGGTAGGATGCAGGGACGGGCTGGGGGTGCAGGGTGTGGGCGGGAGGTAGGATGCAGGGACGGGCTGGGGGTGCAGGGTGTGGGCGGGAGGTAGGATGCAGGGACGGGCTGGGGGTGCAGGGTGTGGGCGGGAGGTAGGATGCAGGGACGGGCTGGGGGTGCAGGGTGTGGGCGGGAGGTAGGATGCAGGGACGGGCTGGGGGTGCAGGGTGTGGGCGGGAGGTAGGATGCAGGGACGGGCTGGGGGTGCAGGGTGTGGGCGGGAGGTAGGATGCAGGGACGGGCTGGGGGTGCAGGGTGTGGGCGGGAGGTAGGATGCAGGGACGGGCTGGGGGTGCAGGGTGTGGGCGGGAGGTAGGATGCAGGGACGGGCTGGGGGTGCAGGGTGTGGGCGGGAGGTAGGATGCAGGGACGGGCTGGGGGTGCAGGGTGTGGGCGGGAGGTAGGATGCAGGGACGGGCTGGGGGTGCAGGGTGTGGGCGGGAGGTAGGATGCAGGGACGGGCTGGGGGTGCAGGGTGTGGGCGGGAGGTAGGATGCAGGGACGGGCTGGGGGTGCAGGGTGTGGGCGGGAGGTAGGATGCAGGGACGGGCTGGGGGTGCAGGGTGTGGGCGGGAGGTAGGATGCAGGGACGGGCTGGGGGTGCAGGGTGTGGGCGGGAGGTAGGATGCAGGGACGGGCTGGGGGTGCAGGGTGTGGGCGGGAGGTAGGATGCAGGGACGGGCTGGGGGTGCAGGGTGTGGGCGGGAGGTAGGATGCAGGGACGGGCTGGGGGTGCAGGGTGTGGGCGGGAGGTAGGATGCAGGGACGGGCTGGGGGTGCAGGGTGTGGGCGGGAGGTAGGATGCAGGGACGGGCTGGGGGTGCAGGGTGTGGGCGGGAGGTAGGATGCAGGGACGGGCTGGGGGTGCAGGGTGTGGGCGGGAGGTAGGATGCAGGGACGGGCTGGGGGTGCAGGGTGTGGGCGGGAGGTAGGATGCAGGGACGGGCTGGGGGTGCAGGGTGTGGGCGGGAGGTAGGATGCAGGGACGGGCTGGGGGTGCAGGGTGTGGGCGGGAGGTAGGATGCAGGGACGGGCTGGGGGTGCAGGGTGTGGGCGGGAGGTAGGATGCAGGGACGGGCTGGGGGTGCAGGGTGTGGGCGGGAGGTAGGATGCAGGGACGGGCTGGGGGTGCAGGGTGTGGGCGGGAGGTAGGATGCAGGGACGGGCTGGGGGTGCAGGGTGTGGGCGGGAGGTAGGATGCAGGGACGGGCTGGGGGTGCAGGGTGTGGGCGGGAGGTAGGATGCAGGGACGGGCTGGGGGTGCAGGGTGTGGGCGGGAGGTAGGATGCAGGGACGGGCTGGGGGTGCAGGGTGTGGGCGGGAGGTAGGATGCAGGGACGGGCTGGGGGTGCAGGGTGTGGGCGGGAGGTAGGATGCAGGGACGGGCTGGGGGTGCAGGGTGTGGGCGGGAGGTAGGATGCAGGGACGGGCTGGGGGTGCAGGGTGTGGGCGGGAGGTAGGATGCAGGGACGGGCTGGGGGTGCAGGGTGTGGGCGGGAGGTAGGATGCAGGGACGGGCTGGGGGTGCAGGGTGTGGGCGGGAGGTAGGATGCAGGGACGGGCTGGGGGTGCAGGGTGTGGGCGGGAGGTAGGATGCAGGGACGGGCTGGGGGTGCAGGGTGTGGGCGGGAGGTAGGATGCAGGGACGGGCTGGGGGTGCAGGGTGTGGGCGGGAGGTAGGATGCAGGGACGGGCTGGGGGTGCAGGGTGTGGGCGGGAGGTAGGATGCAGGGACGGGCTGGGGGTGCAGGGTGTGGGCGGGAGGTAGGATGCAGGGACGGGCTGGGGGTGCAGGGTGTGGGCGGGAGGTAGGATGCAGGGACGGGCTGGGGGTGCAGGGTGTGGGCGGGAGGTAGGATGCAGGGACGGGCTGGGGGTGCAGGGTGTGGGCGGGAGGTAGGATGCAGGGACGGGCTGGGGGTGCAGGGTGTGGGCGGGAGGTAGGATGCAGGGACGGGCTGGGGGTGCAGGGTGTGGGCGGGAGGTAGGATGCAGGGACGGGCTGGGGGTGCAGGGTGTGGGCGGGAGGTAGGA